AAAAACGCGTTGCCGTCATAAATGAGATATTATTATTATGGTCAGAGGCTCTCTGTGTACTTTGATAGTAAAATTCCTACGAATTTAAAAATTTCTGAATGTGTTGAACTGCGTCTTACTCCAGCTGTAAGTATCACAATTATGGTAAATTTTAATGATCCAGTAATTGTATTTTTATTGCTGCAAAAGGTGTTCTTCTCTTATTTCTGACTGAGTTATATGTAACAAGAAAATATTTATTTTCATTCATCGAACATCTCTTCGACGGGTAGGGCGAATCTTAAGTTATTTTTGAGGTTAGTTTATGTGAAAAATATATTTTTTTAGGTTATGATGGGGAAAAAATTGTGTTAAATATATAAAATATCGTAAGTAATATGTTGTAGATAAATTACAAAAGGACCCTTTATAACTAAAATTATTCCGATTGAGTTTGCTTTCACTCAAAAATGGCTAAAGAGACGCAAAAAGAGATCCATCTAGTGAAGAAAATCAATTAAAGAAACTGTTTCGAATCATACATACATTCAAAGTTCCAATAGAATTATCTTGTAATGGAGCCCGTTGTTGCCTAGTGGAATGCGATGAGGAAGAGTTGTGGGTCATCCAAAGATATGCCGAATGTTTTTTAAGGCGGTCAAAGCACGAATCGGAGGAAAGGTCGTCCAAACAGCATGCGATGGCTTAAGATTAGGTAAAATCAAAAAAGTTTTCAATTCGAACTCACTTAGTACCTCTTTAAGCGAGCCACTCGATATTCTAAAGAAGTGAGCTTTCATTCCATTGGTATTTATGAAAACTGTTTAATGGAGTGAAACCAGAATACAGCAAAAAGTAAAATACGAATTTTTCCCTCATAAACAAGCAGAGGAGAACCGCATTTACAGCATAAAAGCACAAATTAGTGGAGATGTTATTGCTGGAAGCCATTTTTCAAACCTTCTTTTAGACACATATTTTCGAGTATGTGGGTATAATCTCTCCATGTACCGGAATAAAGCTTTTGGTGGCCGAAATAGCCGTGTGTCAGCAGAGCAGTTTTTTGTTCAACTGCAATTTTTCTTTTGCTTCTTTGTTGTTTTGTGCGAACTGCTTATTTATAAAAAAAATGTATGATTAAAAAGTTTGTCGGTTTGCAAATAACAAGACATTTAAGACACCATTTAAGAATTATTAGCACTGTATGAGTTTAATTGCTGTGGCGCGTGAATTGCACAAGGACAGCTGTCGACCATGCCTCCCACTACAGGCTGACTGTGTGGCAACTTGTTGCAGTCGATTGGTGAAAGCTACACTGTTTCTGTGCAATGTTTTACGCTTTCTGTTGATTTGCATAAAAATAATCGATTTTCTTTCATTGCACATCTTACTAAGGCGCAAATATAATTGAACGTGCAACATTTGCCTTTATTAGCTGCCACGCACGAGCAGGAGTTGTACAAGATATTTCGAGTATTAGCGCCTTTGCAGCACCAACTTCAGTGACAATGTTGCTAGTTCTGTTGTTCTATGGTTGGAAGCGCTTTGAAGCCAGTGGGCGTAAGTCGCTGACAAGCACTTGTCCTTTAATGGTGCCTCCTTGCGAAAAGCAATTGATTTAGTGCTATTTTGAAATAATGGTTTTTTGGTGTGTTCGTTTTGGATTTATACTTCGGGGGTTCACGTAGAGTGACCATTTAAGTGGGCTGTAGGAGAGGCTTTCAAAGAAAACTGAAGGGAAACTTCCATATAACTCCCAAAAAGCTCAAGTAAGCATGAAACTTATGTCTGATTTGGTTTTGTTTGGAATGAAGTACGGAAATCAACCTGAGATCATTTAAGGGAGTAAAGTAGACAATTTCATCAATGCAGATTTTTTTCGACTGACCAAAATTCACCTCACATAATCTCATTACGACTCTTTCATATCATTATTTTTACTCTAGTCTGCATGATGAAATATTACAAATTATTATTAAATTTAAAAAAAATAAACACACAAACGCTTGCGTTTTTACATTACTAAGAACTCGTGAATTCATGAAAGTACTGAGAAAGAAGAAGATTGAATACTACAGAATTTTTTTCAGCGGACTGCTCGGACTTCAGAGTTGTCCAAAAAGTAATGTAAATATTTTGTATTTAACTATGAAATCACAGCTCAGCCCTCATTTCGTTGTTGTTTTAGTTAGATCTGGCTGAGGTGAAATACGGACTGCTATTTTCATACGCAATTTTCTTAAAAATTTTTATACCGAAAAATAATTTTTCAGATCAGCGAAAGTAAGCATTTTACATCGCAGTAAATATTTCTTGATTTAATAGAGTTTCATGACGAAAATTTCAACACGGTTTTCGCGAATCAAATTTTAATCAAACGTTACTGGCATACAAGCTCGCAGAGCAAAGCGTGAAATGCAAGTACACTGACAATAAGTGCAGAATTATAGTTGGTGACCCAAAATGTACATTAAGGGAACAAATATAGTCGAGAACAAATAGACGTATATACATATGTAAGTATGTACTTCTCAAAGTCATTGAATTCGATTTACCGCAGCGCCCTTAACTTATCATCAGTGATTCGATTTGCAGCGGCATGAACCGCAGACTCTACATTTGGACTTCTGTTGTTTCATTTTCGGTTTTCCTTGCTTTTTTATCAATCTTCCTTTTCTCGCTCACGCCTCCCCGTATGCATCACTTCATGGAGGTAACGAAAAATGCATTTGTGTGTATATTCCACGCCAACGACGATATCCGTGTCATTGAGCTTCGTCGGACTACGGCTTCATTAGCTTCGACATGCGGTCGTGCCAACCGATTAAATGTATAATATGACATGCAACAACCAAGGAAATCCATATGTACAACAAACATGTAGTTTATGCTTAAAACCATTTGGCTGGCCACTGATATGGCGCGAGTAGCTGATGACCACATTCTGTGCTAAATTCGGTCGATTGCTTGTATGCGGCGGCGTTAGACTGTCGAATATTTTACCTTGACTTCTCACACCCGCCAGCTGCAAACCAAATATATGTCGAATTTCTTTCCATTGGAGCCTACCAAAAACAAGGAAGCATGATTTAAGACAGTTTAGCATAATTCGTGAAAAACACTCGCTTCTGCACGTGACTTTTCTCGTTCGTCATCATCCAGTTTTTTAAATTTTCACCGATTCAGCTAGTCTGTGCATCTCGTCGCCCTTTGCCTATGTCACGCGTTAAAAAGTATCGGGAAGAAATACTCCCAGCTGAGGCGATGCCGCTACTTTTCTTTTTTACTAAAATCTGTATTATTCATAACATGCACACATATCGTTGTCGTATCGTTGGTGTTTCTGGCTCAGGGCATCAAAGGACAATTATATAACAGTTTGTCCTCTGCCAACTCCAGTTTGGTTAGGCATTAGTTTGGCTCTGTGTTCTGTCCCGTGCTTGAGAACTTATTAGCATTTTGCTCTTATTTTACTGTTATATACAGTGGGTAGAAAAGTAAGTTATCGTTCGCTTAATCGCATATGCATTTGTTGTACACTCGTATGTTCAGAAAGTACCGTTATCAAAGTATGCGATTGATGAATTCATTGGCGAATTCTTGTCTGGCAGGAAATTTGCGTTCCATTCTACAAAAGCGCTCAGTGATAAAGTAAGTTACCAAGAGCAATAATGGGCGTGTTCGTATTAGGATTTAAAAAAAATTTAGTAAACCTGAAAGAATTCTTTATTTTATTCATTTTAAAATTAAATTGATAAGTAAAACTCTTTTTTATTTAATCTATTTTTTTTTGTAATATTTATGCGATTGTCACAAGGACGCCCATGAAGAATTTCGGATATTTCCAATTCCGATACATTCAAATCTATTCCAAAAATCCTCGCACAGTACATAAAAGAAGGTAAGAAGGCGCCCTCAGTGCACACTGTCCTTAACAGATTGCGTCAAACCAACATTCACAGCCGGGTTGTGAGGAAGTTACCCTACCTAAACGACACAAATGGGAAAAACGACAAGGATTTTATGAACAGCATATATTAAAACCTCAAAGTTTTTGACCTAAAGTGCTCTGGACTGATGAGTCGATGATTAGGTTTCCTTATTCCCATGGCCTGGTTAACGTTTGGCGCTCACCCAAAGTAGAACTGTCATACAAGTGCACCTTACCCACAGTTAAGTCGGTGAAAAGGTTTTAAAGGCTTGGAGATGTTTATCGACGATTTGTGCTGGCAATATTGTGGCTCTGGAAGTAATAGTTACTGCTGCAGTTTATTCAAATATCTTGAAGGAGCACGCCATCTCCGAGAATAAACGGCTAATTGGACCTAATTTCCTTCCTCAACGTGTCTTGAAATGACCCCCCAAAGCCCTAACTTGTGGCCAATTGAGAAATCATTTGAATTTTACTCTTGGAAATATGGTCTCAATAGAAAAGAAATATTTTGTTAGAAAAAATACAAACTTCAAAATTTCATGCACTTCTCTACATCATATTTCACTTTTGTAAATCGATTTATTCTAGAACGTCGCAGCTCACCAATGATTGTCCGTCATGCAAGTGTCTCCTTAGCTCGTCATTAAATTTGGCTTTGAGACGCTGTAGTAACTTCCACCTCAAGCACTTTCTATAAATTTGATAATCATTTTCATTTCGTTACATAAGGCAATCTTAACGAAAATATTAATCACGAGTAGAAAAGGGGAAACTTTGTGAATTTGCATGTGCTCTTGATGCTGGTTAAGTTTGTCGGACAACCACCAATAAAGCTCATACACCAATATGTCCTGTCACATGATGTTGCCATCAAAGCGAGGCAATCATAATGAAAGCGCACGTGAGATCCAAATGCTTCAAATGCATAACATCTGATGCGAATTATACTGTAAACCGAATATCCAACACTGAAAATTTTTCCAACTTTCTTCTTGACTTACTTTTTAGAAAAATGTCAAGAACTCAGAAAATTTATTTCAATTAAAAAAAATTCGTTTAATTTTAGAAAGCATTTTCTGCTATTTTTTGTACAATTTTTATACTTATTTTTATACCATTTCTTTATAATTTTTGACATCACTCGCTCCTGCACTGACCTTAATTCAGAAAACTTGAGCAATGCTGACTTCGCATGAAATTTTCGTGGGGTAGTTCATGAAGAACTCGGAGCGAAGGAGCATTTACAAGCAAATCAAGGATCTAGTGAAGAAAGCTCAGACTGTTGCACAAAAGGAGCTCGAGCAGAGACGCCAGCGACTTCAAGCAAAGTTGGAGCTCGAAGATAAGTTATACCAGGAGGAGTTTGCCGAGAATGTGAAGTCACGCATCATTGAAATCAAAAGCGAGCGCGATCGTCGCGACAAAGAGTTCCTGCAGGAGATGATTATTAAAAGAGAGCTCGAAGATTGTTACGAAATACGTGAGGCGTTATCGCGCAGGGATATGCTGCAAGTTAAGGAGGCGCAGTTAGAGCAAATTACTGAAAAGCAACGTGCCCTCATACGGCAGCGTCAGACGGATGAGTATTGGAGGAAGGTGTGTGATACACACTCTCAGCACTACAAAAAGCAGCTGGAGAAGGAGCAGAGATTGTTAAAAAATATGAAAGCTCACAAAGGCAAGGGCTTGGATGAGCAAATCGCATTGCACCAGCACGAGCGTGAATTGGAACTTGAACGCAAGCGTCAGGAGGCAGAAGAGTTGGCGAAACATCTACACGAATTAAGCTTAGAAAAATGTAGGTTGCGCGTGCCGCCGAAGATGCAAATATATCGAAAGGAACTGCTGGACATGATCGCCGAGAAAAAAGCAAAGCGTGAGGGAGAGGAGCGCGACCGCATCGAGGAACACCGTAAGTTGATGCGGGAAATCGCGAGTGAGCAGCAAGATCACAGCGCGGCTTTACTGCAACGGAAACGCGCAGTCTACAAAGCCACAATGGAATATATAGACTATGCACGTCGCTTACACAAACTGGAGGATTATGCACAGGCAGCGCGCTATGCACGCATCGACGATTTGCGACACGTGGACATATGCACGAAAAGCAATTTGGCGCTGGAGGTGAAGCGCAAGGCAGAGTTGGCAAAGCTCTACTACGCAGAGCTGCTGCGTCAAATGTGCGAGGAGTATGAACGGCGGCAGCGTGAGGCGCACGAGAGGCGCGAACAAAAGATAATCAAAAATCGATTTGTACACCCAGAGAAATCAAAGGCTGAACTGCTGGCTGAACAGCATAAAGTGCGTGAGGAGTTGGACCATCAACTGGCCGAGAATGCGCGCCTACAGGCCGAGGAGGAGGAAAAGTATAATAAACAATTGGAATTGGTGGCGGATGACAGGGACTTTTGCAAAAGAGTGGCGGAGCAATATATCGCTGATCAAAAGGACCATCTTCCCACTCATCCCAACTGGTTAATATACCAGTGTCCAAACAAAAACTTTGCAGTTAAATGTGTTTCGTCCGAAGTGCAAGGTCTGAGCAAGTCGGAAGTCAAGCTCGAGCGTGATGATGCTTACATAGAACCCTGGGGTTGTTTTGCTCGATTGCCCAATGATTGTGTGAATCACAGTTATCTGTCGCCGCTAAAGCGTGGACTGAATGCTGATCAAAAATTGCGTAACGCAACTTTGTGTCTGCCGCGGGAGTCAGTGGTGGTTCTTAGATAATTTTTGTAGAAAGCCAATAAAATAAACAAAAAACGGAAAGAAATAATCAGTGCTGGCTCGCCTCTTAAATTTCTTAGCAGAGAGGAGCATTGGTGCTAAGATTATCCATGTTGCCTTCATTTCTGCTCCTTAAGACATAACTAAACTCCTGAGATAAGATACGAAAATATAAGGTAAGATAAAATAAGATAAAAGGTATTTGATGACCCTGACTCAACCCCACAAACACTTTGAAACTCATATATGCTTCTTAGCAAATTCTATAATCTCTTTTGGGGATATCTTTTATATACTATTCAACCTACAAACTGTGAATAAGAATGTGAGCTCTCGAGGGACGGCGTCCCTACTGACATTATGGGTTTATCAAATGAGAACCCGCCCATCTAATTGGGTCTTGGGTATACAAGAAATAGATCTGAATGGTTGATAATGTGAAACTATGCTTGAAATGATCCAAAAAATGGTAAAGTGTACCCTTTGAATGGCATATTTTCTATCTCATTTTAGTGAGACAATGGAAAGTTCAATATGAAGATACCAGAGACCAGTTTGTGCAAAGGAAGGTTGACTGTCTGCTAGGTAAGATAACCAAGGGACAAGAATAAGGCACATCAGAGGCAAGACAAGGTAGCTAAGTGGTTAAGTGGCTAACTGGGTAGGCTAGAGAGCAACTTGCTACTCAGAGCGGATACCTTGAAATAGTCCGATGAGTATTCCTTGTGAAGGACGCCGAAATTAAATTGGTATAGTTTCGACTAGGGAGGTTTGAAAGAAGCGGGAATTCAAGAATCGTCAGGCCAAATCATCTGCCTGGCGCATAAGTGGACTCTCCAAAATACTTTGTGAGACCAACTAATTTTGGCATCAACCAAAATCGGGTTATGTTAGCAGGCTCAAGGGAAAAATAGCGCAGTAATCTAAAAGCAAGTTCAAGCTGGAACTTTAACAAGGAGTTCTAGATCTGTGTTGCACCTACTTTTTGATAGAGATAGGACGAATTAAAAAGGTAAATGGTAAAGATATTATTATTATTTCTTCTTCTGTGACCGCTGCCTTAACCCTACGCGAGGAAATACTTTATTACGGACGTCCAAAAACCAATATTTATTCCTTGATTTTCATTCACGTCTAATTAGATTGAGACGAAGTTTGTATTTTTGATGACTTATAAATATTCCTGTAGACAAAGGTTGTACGTAATCTTTTTCTTCTTCCTCTTAATAAAGAAACCTGCCAATTTCGAGCTCAGATTGAGAATACGACGTGCAGTTCCCTTGGACAGCTATACAACGATTTCAACGTATTTTCCATGCTTCTTAACATTTCTGGAACGCTTCGACATGGATGCCCGCAAGTGCCCTCATATTTTATCGCGTCGCGTTACTCTTGATTTCGTTTTTCCATTTTTGTGACGAGCACTACGTACCCCTTTACTCAACACGACAAAGCAGGAGAAGGATGTCGAGAGAGGGGAAAGGTAATATCAAGGTCGATATCTCATCACATAATTGTCACACCTCGTATAATACAAAAAAGTAAAAAGAAATTCGAATATTCAGGTTAACCCTAAATTTCTATTCCAATTTATTTGATCTATTTTTAGACACACCTACTTCCGTTAGGAGAAAAATTCGAAATTAAATGCGTGCTAAATAGAACAATTATATTCCACACTTTGCTGTATGCAGGCACACACACATGTACTGATAGATTTCAGTTAAATAGAGGCAAATGCCACACGAAGCGAGACAAGCGAACCGGAGGTCCAAGAGTTGGAGCAATCAAGCTGGAAAAGGAAATGCCTGTCTAATCGTGGTTGCATTATTTATTTTATTTTTATAATTAATTCTAATAACAGGGCCATGGTCTATTGATTTGCTGACTGTTACTTTTGTTGTTGTCCACCTCCCAAGAAGTGTTTTAGCCTAGGCTTATAAAGATTTTTATAAACACATATGTATGTATAGCTTTAAGAAATGAATCTTATTTCCTCATTTGACATGCACTTCAGCTAAGCTGAGCTCTTGATATTATAGGATGAATAATTATGACGCACGAACAGTTAGATTATGGCAACAACACCTCACTGTAAAAACTTTCTGCTGCTCTTCGTCATACAAATCCCCTTGCCTAGCCTGGCCATGTGGTTGGGAGAAAGGTCAGTGGCCTGGTATCTTGATGGTATCATGGTTAACAGCAGCTGAGAGTAGCAGAGCATTTAGATTGGTCTCTTGGCATATCGGCTTCTCAGGCTGGTTGCAGTTGATAAGTAGTTTAATTATAGCAAAATCATACGAGAAACTCAGACTGGTTGCATTATAATGGCGCTAAGTATAGCGTGTTGCAAACTTGCGCAACTCTTGCGGCTTTGGTGTTGTGTATTAAAAATTCCCAGCCAGAACAACACATGACATTTGACAAAGTCTCGCGAAAAAAATTTTCATCACATCTCCCTAAACCACTTTCAGACTGTGGTCTCTTATATATTTTGCTCTAATTAAGTTAATCTGAACTAATTATTTTCCACTTTAAACTGCAACAAACTTACATAGGCATTTTTTAGCGTGATTTTTTAATGTTAGTAAATTTAATTGACCATTAAAGGCGTTTGTCAGCATTGTACTTGGGGTGGCTTCAAGAATGTGCCTTGCTAATTACCGCTGTTTAGTGCTGCAGCCAGTCGCCGGTTGGGTGGAGGTATGGTGAGTTGGTGTCAAGTTCGGATACTCTGCGAAGAGCTAATTTCTAATTATGTGATCGTAACTAAGGCTTTGGCTGAGTTGTAAGTGAATGCCGCTTGAATTTTCCGCCTTTCACGTACCTTCATACATATGTATGACACCGTTAAGGAGTCCCCTGGCGGGTGTTGGCTCTGAAGTACTTTTAATTGCTCAATGAATTTGTATTTGCTTTACTTTTAGTGATGTTAGGAAAAACATTACTTATAGTCGTATGATTGTTTGTATGTATTTTTCATAAAAACCTTCGGGAGCGAAAGCACATTCAATGGGGTGCTCAATAATTGTGAGCTTCAAGAGGATTCGAGTATATTATTCAATACAGATTAATTTAGGTCATGTTCTAATTAACTTTTTTTTAACACTAAGGGATGGGTAGGAGGTATTCAATTTGGTTAAGTCTATGTGTCTCTTGCGGTGATGACAACAGAAGTGCAGAGTTTTCTTACTACTGGATCAAAGATCCTTGAAGAAAGCGATAACAACGTTTTGGGAGCTGCAATCTTGTAAATCAAATTCGAAATCTAAATATTTGTAGATTCAACTTAAAAGTAATAATAATTTTTTGTCTCGTGTAGACTTTGTGTTTAAAACAATAACTAAGTTTGCATGGTAAAGAAAAAGTCACCGCAAGGGAAGTTTTAGAGACATTTAAGATCTCTCAAGATCATTTTTAATTTGACAGCTGGATTAGTCTCACTTCTGCTGCTGTTGCGACTACAGCCACTGCCGTATATCATCAGAAAATTCTGAAGCTCATTAAATTTTAATTAGATAGGAGACAAAGGCTGAGTTGCATCCCGACCTACCAACTCAAGAGACCTAGCTTGGAGGCTTTAATCGATCAAAAACACCTACAAAAATTTCCGACTTCAGTCTGTTTTAGGCAGGGTACTACAAGTACATTCCCCACCCGAAAGTCTTAGCTTCCTATTGAAATCGATTGGTTCAGGGGCAACTGTAGAGAGAGCCATTTATAGAAAAGACATGTAAGGTATAACATGAAATAAAAATTAATTATGTTAAAGTAAGAGTATAGCTTAATATTTTTGAGGATTTTAGGAGTGAATTTCCGTGGCGATATCGACGATGTTTCATAGTTAGTCAGAGCAAAAAGAAAAAAAATGTATGCTAACTTTTACAACTACAATGACATCAAAGCAACAACAGTCAACAGTCAAGCTCAAAGTGATGACCGACTCTCAAAATGACGTATAAAACCGATATGTGGCGTAAATTTCTTAGTATTGAATAAATTCTTATTTAACATTACGTACTAAAGAGTCAGCAATAAAATCCTCGTGAAATAAAAGAAAAATATCTCACAGTGACACTTTGGCTACTCTCAACAAATGCATTAAGAAATGTGCGACGGAAAAAAGTGGCTGCAAAATGAAACAAAACTGTTTTGGAGAATGTCTGCGAGAAAAAAAATCAAATTAAGTTGAGAGGCTTCATTCGTCCTACTATAAATACCTTACCCTTGCAAGCCACTCATTCCCCACACTTTTTGCTGATCATGCCACAAACGATTAAAATTCTTGTCGTCATTTGCTAATCAGCCCAAGAGAAGGGCGTTTTGTCTATCCCACTTAACCTTTGCCAACATAGTCTACATTCAGCGCCTTCAGTGTATGCCACATCGCAAGGCACTTAGTCAGATGGAGTTGGTCTTTTGTTACATTTACAGCATCGCCTGCGAATTTATGGGCAACCACCGCCCTCATGCATGCACCTGACCGAATGAAGAATAAGATTTCATGTGTCTACAACACTTTGCGGTTACAGCAGAGCTCTTAAAATAGCAATCGTTCTATATATATATATCGAATCCGATTTGGACACCTCTGTAGTATTATTTTCAGTTCTTAGTTTTTTTTTGCTCTGCCAAAGACATTTACATTTTGCATCTGACTAATGTTCGGTTCTTTTGTTTTTTTATCTTCTTTTATATAGTTCAATACGTACGTATCGATTTGTATATATTTACCTACACTGTCATTAGCGTCTACCTTCGGCCAGTAAGGCCTCTTGAAAGTAAAATGTTAAGCTGTTTCTATTTAACTGCAAAAAGTCTACTGCTAAGACACATACAGACGAAGATCGAGCGCATTTCTATTGAATTTATTTTGAGCTTTTTTACTACTTGTGAATGCTGTGATTTAGCAATAAAAAATAAGAAAATTTTGGAAAAGTTAATATTAAATTGATGACTGTCCTGATCAACCCCTTGTTCTTGAACATCTGTTGAGAAATTGTATAGTCCCTTGTAAGGAGAGCGTAGAACTATCGCCTCAACCACAGC